CGGTTAAGTTACCGAATACCGGATACCCCGAGGCATTAGTCGGTTGCCGGCAGAAGTTCCCACTTAGATTATTTGTTCCAAAGTTGCACTCTCTCTCCCAATTGGGGCAAAAGATTTTGTGTAATGGCTATGTGATAATCCTAGACGAAATATTACCGTCTGGGTAAGAGACTCGAAGCACCCGTTCTAATGGCCGGCTGTGCACTTGGTTTGGGGCAATCACCATTGTGATTGATTGGCCTAAAAACACCTCATACTTCTCCAAGTATCAAGTGTTTTTAAGCCAATCAATCAATTTGAAATGAAACCAACCACACAGCCGTCCAGGGGCAAGAGCACCCGAATTGCGAATTTCCGCATGCTTTTTTAAGTTAGGCAAAATATTAAAGAATTGCAAATATACGCAAAGGTCAAATTGAAAAATTCAAACAAACACAAATATATATAAATAACCGACTAAGTCGGAATACTTCATAAAAAGGGCACAAAGGCCAGAATAATTGTTAGCCGGAATAACATCCGGAGAAGAAGCAAAAGAAAATGATTGTTACCCAACTCCACATTTGGTAAAAATGCAACATTACTCGGCATACAAGCCGGAAAAGAAAGAAATTGACATACTGCCATTGAATTTGGGGAGGCTCGCCTAAGGCTGAGGTGGAAGCTGCTGCTCCGACTGGTCGTGGCCGGTTGGGAGGGCTTCAGATTGGTTATCAGCTACTTGAGGCTGATTACCTTCGTTTTGCTCTACCTCCGCCGGCTCCTCATTGTCCTACACTTCATACCCTTGCTCGGCAGCCCAGTCTTGGAAGCGACGCGGAGGAGCCTCACCCAGCACTTGGGCATCATACACCTCAGTGCGTAATCATACCTAAGTTTATAGACTTCAAAGTCTATATCTGGGTAGAGGAGGCTCCAAGTGATCTTTAGGCGGGCTGCATTGTCCCGCTCATTTTCCTCCATCAGCCGCTTTTGCTCCTGAGCAATCTCGTCCGACTACTTGTTCCGTAGAGTGACAATCTCGACCCCCAGTCGGGAGACATCTGCCTAGAGTTTGGTATTTTCTTTGTCAGCATCTTCTAATGCCTTGAGTTCAGATTGAGCATCCTTCAGTTTTTGCTCAAGGTTATTAGCCCGGCTAGTGGCCTCATTGTTTGCAGCCGTCAAGCTCCGGATCAGCTCCTCCTGTTTCAACTCTACTGCTTTAATCTCTAAATCACACATATAATTAGCATATTCAACAGAGTTGAGGTTTTCAAGGGCCCTCCGTTTGACGTCATTTACCTCTTCCTGTTTCCGCCTAAAGGGGCCCCGGAGTCCGTCCACTCTCAGCATTACCCGGGAAAAGAACAGCCGGATTATGATATACTTAGTTAAAATAAAGAAAAGATATCAGGGTTGTGGGATTCTTTACCTCAGCCAACTGGCCCATTATTCGGTCGAAGTCCACTACCTGCAGATAAGGTATTGAATTCTTCTCTGACCGGGTGAGGGTCCTCACCATCCGTTTTGCGAAACCAGCAAGATCCGGCTCGTCGGATGTAAGATCTGCACCAAAAGTAGAATTACTTTGTGAGAAGGAAGCAGCATAGTTGGCATTCATCCGTTGTCGGCTGCTGACTGAACCCCCGGAGGGGTCTACCTTAGTCTTGACTCTCATGAAGTGGCCAAGGTATTTCAATCTTTCCCTTACCTTAGGTATCCGGATGGGGCGTAGGAGTCTCTTCCCCCCCGGTTGTTGCCGCACCGGCTGCAACATTAGGTGGCGGGCCACCCTTCGATGCCGTGGAGGCATCCGGCGCTTTCTGCTACGAACGCTCCGAGCCTTCGCTCAGAATTTTCATTGCAGCAGGGGATTTGCCACTGGTCGTGGGACGACCGGTTTGGGCAGTAGAGGTTGACCGGGGAGGGTCCTTTCTAGCGGCCTTCGCAGCCGGAGTCCCAGATCATCTCCTTGCCTTTTGAAAAGCTTGGAGAAGGATCGTGGCACGCGTTTTACAGAGTCCTACAAAATAAAAAATAATAAAAAAAAAAAGTTAAGTATACCCAGCCGGCAAACTGCCTTAGTAAAAAATATATATATATTAATACTAAGACAGGCGATCTTACCCCGCCCTTCTTGGACTCTTTCGCTTCAATGGCTGCTTTCCTTGCAATAGCAGCCTCCTTGCGCAGCAGCGCCGCCGACTTAGCCGGAGTTTTGGCCGGATCAACCATCTTCAAGGCGTCGGCTGCATGAATAGAATAAAAGTTAGAAGAAATTACGGAAAGTTTGTAATGAAAGAATAAAATCACAAATACTCCGGATGCAAGTGGATCTACCCTTGGGGAACATGGGACTTAACCCACAGGCGGACAAGAAGCATTCGTCCTTGAAGTAGTCCGGGTGGGGGATCCAATTTTTGGGAACTATAATATGAGTCCCATCCCCCATGGGCTCAGTATTGGTTTCAAAGAAACCCGGCTCCATTATTTGCTCCCGGGCCTTATTAGATAGCTCCGGGAGAGGGCACTTCCTGCCCAGAAGAGCCGGTTCCGTGTAGTACCAGCGCAGTGTCCGGTTGTGTCTCAGAGGTGGAGAGGAAATCAAATAAAACTTATCTTTCCACCCAGACCATTTGGACACCTTATCCAAACTCATCAAATACTGGGGCAAGGTGGAAAGAGTGTACCATGCCCCATGACCGCCTGGTGCCTTGCTCAAGTAATGCATATGAGCGAAGGCGGAGAAGCTGGGACTTATGTTCTGGAGCTCGCAGGCGGTGATGTAACTCAAAATGTTCACCCATAAGTTGGGGGTGAGCTGCCAAACTCCTAGATCATACCCCTTCAGGATTTTCCTAATCCCGGTATAGAGGGGGAACCGAAGGCCGGCTTCTATGACCGCCTCGTAGTAGACAATGTAATGGTCTGCATTATCTATGTCATCGTCCCATGCCATTACTGCGTCAGCACGCGGGACGATAATATCCCACCCCTTTCCAAAGGGGTGCTTCTCTTTGAAAGCCCTAAAGCCGCTCTTTAACAGGGCAATGTCACCCGGCAGCTTTCTAATCCTTTTAGGGTTAGGGTTGTCAGCGACTTAAGGCCGCTGCTGATAGTCAGCCGCAAAGTTATCCTGGTCAGAGCCAGAAGATTCGGCCCTTGACCCTTCGCCGACCTCATCACCGCCGGATCCATTAGAGGTGGCGGCTTCCTCACCTCCTTCCTCCCGTACGCCTGAGCTCCCGGAAGTAGAGGGAGCCTCTTCAGAACCGCTCTCCTCCAAATCCTCATGTTCCCCATCCGGAACAACCTCATCGGCTGACACTGACATAGTGCGCCGGCTCCTAGACCTTCTGGCCATCTGTTTCATTCTGGCCATTGTGTCCTGCACATACATAGAGAGGGAGGAATCCAGAGATGAGCACATCGATTCTCACAGTCCAGAAAAGGCACCCCCTATTCTAGACTCAGCCGTTCCAGGGGACCGGCTGAGTGTCCTAGGCAGTGCCGAGTGTGTGGATTGAGAACTCATTTTTATTTCTACACTATGTATACAGGCGGAGAAAGAATATATACAAGTTGAAAAGGAGAAAAGCTAAAGATGGTACAGGCGGTTACCTTACTTTAGTTCTGATAAATCTGAAAACAACTACAGACGGTGAACCGGGTGTTGCAACGTTAGCACACGGAAATCCGAAAAACTTTGACGCGGACGGAGGCAGAGAATCTCTCTCTAAAAATCTCTCTTTCTCTCTAGAAAGTCAAATGAAAATGAAGTGAGAGAAAAAGGGGGAGGTAAACTTCTATTTATAGAAGGTGAAAACAGGGGCATTCCCGTTTGAAATTTGAATTTTACTATCCGTTGTTACTGTTCACCTCTGATAGGTGGACACGTGTCATAGGCCCCACGTGACATGCATGTGACCCCTATGAGGGGCAAATGTTTAGGGTAAAAATACCCTAGACAAGTGGACCAATGAGAGGAGGCCACGTGATGAGCTTAGGAGGGCCCAAGTGGCCCAATATCCTCTTGACACGTGGCCCCCTTAGATAAGCCTCTGAAATGGCGGCCTTCAAGGGCCTAAATCCCTAGCAGCGCCGTAAAACGGCGCAGCCCACTAAAATCTAGGTCAAGTGACCTAGATTGGGGCACATTCTCCAACGACCCTATAAATAGGGAGATATTTCCCCATTTTGGGGACACATTGAATTATTTATTACACCTACATTCTCTCTCATCAGAGAAACACCTGAGCTTGGAATTCAAACAGATCCCCACCTAAATTTTTGTACTCTTTATTCTCTTTCAAGTTACTAACTTGATCTTCGGAGGCGGAGCTCCAACCACCCGGAGTCTCCGTTGTTTTTGCAGGTACAGCTCAACTGGACCAATCTTTGTGATGTAACTCTCCCAAGGGACAAAAATACCCAAAACAAAACCCATGCGACTCTTAAGTTCAGTGTTCTCTTCTTGAATAAGTTCTACCTGATTTGTAAGAGCTTCATTTTGTATTTTAGCCGCATTTAACTCTGTTTGAAGAACTTCTCTGCTCGGTTGTGGTCCATTCATATCCTTTAGAGTTATTCCTCCAACTAAGCCCACAACCCGATCTCGAGACTTGGATTTAAAAACCTTTTGTGAAACCTGATATTCAAAGAAAATGAAATATATGTTTCTAATTAAAAAGTCATTTCTACACACTACTACAAAACATGGATTAAGCAACGCGAGATAGAGAACGGTTTGGATGAGCGTTTTCTATAATTATAGAGAACGCTTTTCTTAGATAACCGATTTGTAAGAGATATAATATAGAACGCTTTACCTTATACCCGTTGTATTTGTTT